ATAGACAATTTCGTAGGTTTACTTGTGAGATATGTCATCGATACTTTTTTCGCGAGATTAACTTAATAAATTTGACCTCGCGTTTTCTCCGAAACTCTACAAGTAGGCTCAATGTGAAATTTTTCTGTGATCAATGTCTCATCGTATAAGCTATAATTTAACATACTATTTGCTTCCAAATTCGAGGCCTCCAAACAGGAGATTTTTGCGGTCACTCTTTGTCGAAGAAATCTGCATTATTTGAGTATACATTATTGCTTTAAATCTGAGACATTGAATATCTCATACTCGCGTTCTCATCTGTAAGAGATGCGTCTTCTGATTTGTGAGATATTTTAGAATTATATACATCATATATAATTAAATTTAATATATTATATTTTTTAGATTTTGATTGATTATTATAGAGAATTAGAAAGTAAAAAAGTATTCTCCATACGCTACATTCAACGAGTATCTATAGTGCGAGACTTACGCACTTTTCTATAAGGCCATCACTTGGTACACATGTGGCACAAACCATTTGAATGCAAATTGCAATGTTGTTAGTATTTCTTTCTAAATGAACCAAGTTGCATATTTACACATTCTTGCTGTAGCGATAAAACTGACGTGCAACTGATACGCGACGAAATATTATGCGCAATGCAAATATAAATATTTTGTTACAAGAAAGTTTGCAGCAAATACATGATTGATGACGCTGAAACTATACGTTCGAGGTGTCGTACACGCGGTTATCTAGCGATAAGTCGAATTACTTACGAAAATTATACATCAATAGGCAGGTGTATAGATATTGATATCACTATGATGATCTTAACAAAAAAACGACTCCAAACAAGAACGTAATCGTCAAATCTTACACAAATTATCAAGCCACAAGTTTTATATGTTAGACCACTAGTATGTGTTAAAAATTAACTTAGATCGTTCACTCGCATACACGCATCTTCCTCTCTGGTTTAGTACACCAACAAATAAGATTTGGAGTTTATAAATACAATGAAAGTGACGAATCATGGAGTCCTTCTCTCTGTCAAACACAAACACTACACATATGCATTCTGTGCTTTAACAACTTGTCACATTCAGAGATAGTATTTTTTCTTACATCATCTTTACTATTTTTTTTTCTAGTGGATTGATCTGGGAAAAAACTACTTAAAAAACGCGTCACCAATAGTATCTCCTTAGTGATATGGAAATCTGTTGGTATATTTTAAACTTTATTTTCTTGTCTTGATCGAGAATAAATTATTCAAACAAATCTACATTCTTACGTCACAAGAGAATCATTTTTATAAACATATATACACACACACATATGTATATACATATGTATACATTTATATGTCCTTTCTACAAAACGTCCTATATGTGCAGCGAGGCGAAATAAATTTCGTATCGCGTCGAAATGTGTGTGTGTGTGTGTGTGCGTTGTGCGTCCTGTTTGGAGATGTGTCGGAAATTGCGCGCTTGCGACTAGTCTGATACGATCGCGGATACGCACCTCTGATGACGGAAACTGGCGATTGTCTTGGATAGTTCATTTCGAGGTTTTTTCTCGATTCTGGATAAACGCCAGTAGTTATCACGAGATTTTAGTTGGCGCGTAAACGTCGCGACCGGATGTCACATCACATTGCCGTGACTTCTCGGTTGTAAACGATCGGAACCGATTGCTCAAAGTAATTCGCAGTTCACAAAAGCGCTGTAAGATCGCTTCGCGATAACTCTTTAAAATTCGATTTTTTGTATTTCGATAAAAATTGTGTTATTTGTTTTTTTCTAAGCTTGATGATTTGTTCTTTAGTGAGAACCACGGTGTAGCTAACATGATAACGAGGTAACTCATCACGTTGAATATCTCTCGGGTCTTCTGTTTACGCGACGTAACAATTTGCACTTTATGTATCGCAATGAAATATCGAATTGTTGAATATTGCATTATGTTCTTCGATCAAATCACGATTGCGTGTTGTGAAGATGCACTTAAACCGTTTGAAATCCCACTCTCACGTGATGAATTGGAATGTTATCGCGCGCACACGCGCGACGACGCTTCGCCTCGTGGCGAAGAGAGAGAAAATCCGAATATAAACTCGAGAACACTTTGCCATCAAGCGAAAGATTGACACGCAATTAAATCACGTCCGAATGCGCGATCTTTCGATATTAGAAAATTGGCTCTTGTAGAATTTGCGTCATCGTGATCAAGGCCGATGTGAAAATTTCAGCCGGGGCGAGTGATGCGTTGCGACGAGAGAAGTTCAATATATAGTAATTTCGAACATTCTTTCAGGCGCATCAGGCAAATGTAAAAAAAAAAAAAAAATAATAGAATAATAAAATAATATATATCAAATATCTTTGCGTTTCTTCGTGTTATCAGAATACATAGATATGTTTGTTTAATTTTTATTTCTTATCACGATCAGAGAAAAAGAGAAAGAGAGAAACTTTCAGAATTTTTAAACAAGGAACGCAAGAAAAAGAATAAAGCAATTTAAGTTTTCACAAAAAAAAAAAAAAAAAAAACTACAAGAACTTTTCAATCGCACGCGCAAGAAAGTTTTCTTCTGTTTCTAATAAGATTTTGATAAATTGTTGGAGAATTGCAGACATGATATGTGTCTCTCTGAAGATCACAAAATGCAAAACTTATGTCTGAAGACAAGACAGAGGCAAAATAGCCAGAACGACAATCAAAATAACAGAAAGCATCACGTTAATTTTATGTTTGCTCAACGAATGACGTATAGACGGCACTTTCGGTACGCGAGCTTCGGGAAATATCCTCCATTCGTCACCGGAAATTGTACGAGATACAAGAACGACAGGAAAAATATGTACGTAATATGTGCACCTACCATTTGGAGATATTCCTATACGCACGGATAGATCTTGTCGTCTCGCGGAGAGATTCTGATCTTACCGGGACAAGACACGCGTGCGCAGCTTAACGCGCGCAAGAAACATAATCTCACGTGGTCTCGTCGTAAGAATGAATAACACGCGTTCTCTCGCTGAAATCTCGTCGATATACAGTGCCTTTTTTCGGCTTTGTTGTTTGTCCCGTAAACTCTCGTCGTTGTTGTTTTTTCTGTGCCACTTTCTCGATATTTATCATCAAGAAAAGAAACGAATTGAGAGTCTCGAACGCGTAATATCGTCGGAGTTTGTAAATATTACGCCAATTTTTATCTAATTTGATCTTGTTCAGCTTGATGTTTAATTGAAACGTTTGTTCTTACGCGAATAAATCGCTCGTCGCTTTGAGATGATGGACGCAGCGAAGAAGAAGAAGAAGAAGAAGCACGTGCCGATCGCGTGCCAATTCCACGTAGACCACGTAACGCTGGAAAAGTGATAGCGACAAGGAGAAAACGGATTCGCTAGGTAATTCTTGATCATTGATACGCGTCAATCTGAGAACGACGGTGAAAAACGGCGTCGCCGATATTTTCCGGCAGACAACGTCGGACGATCGGCGGGTAATGTTCGACGCGTTTCCGACAAACGGGCGACGTAGTTTACTTTCTATACGAATTTATTTGCTCGCTGCCAGTACTTGAAAACGCGCCTCGCCCGACATAAGCCCTTTTTCCCTTCCCCTCTCCATTCCGTTTTCTCTAGGAAGAAGGCCATTAATCTTAGATAATCCTTCTTCGTTCGTTGTTCTTGCGGACGCTTCCGCGCGGAGCATCCCGTGCCAGGGCAAAAGTATTACGCGGATGCTCAAAATTTCTCTCAGCGTATATCTATTTAAACGAAACACAAATATCTGACCTTTACATCCAACATTCGCGTGGTTTCGCATTCCGATTGAATAATTTGAAGGTGAGCCAAACGGAGATAAGATGAAACGATGATGACGTAGCAATAAATTGTTTTTATTGTTGCAAAAATGTATACATGTATACATATATAAGTATATTACAAACAGTTTTAAAACACAAGATAAATCTTTCTCTACACATGTGTATTATTTTTTTTAAATAATTTAAATTGAGAAATAACAAAATATTTTACGCGCTGTTATATAATATGTAATCGCACATTGATGAGAAAATTTTGTGATTCTGTTGAATATCTCGTACATGTGTATCAAAATATCATTGCCAGAAAAAGAAAAAAACAAAAACAGAAAGAGAGAGATACAACTTTAGAACCTGAAAACACGATGGTACGAAGGAAAAGTGAAGGAAACTTCTTAATGTATCCTTTGAGAACAAAAGCTGATTTTATGTTATGATAAAAAATGTGTTGTAAAACGAGTATTGTCATTCCCACATTCAACCGCAGAAATGTGGTCAAATATTTCGAAATTGATTGATTGCCTGAAAGAGATTCAAAATTATAGATCATATATCACACTTTTTGCACGGGCGTTCGTCGTTCAAAACACAAGAAAATAGTTAATTTAATATTGATTAAGAACAGCAAGTTAATCATCAATATATATGAAGACAGAGAAGAAGAGAGAATTTTTTTACCCTTCACGTAATTTATTCGTGTTTTTGGAGGCCGTCAACAATTTCTATTAATAGATTTAATTTGCTTTGATTTTTTGCACATTTTTTTCACATCAATGAAAAATGAGTTCGACAGGGACTCGAAAGCAGATAAGTACATAGTACTCGACAAACGAAAAATACTTATCAACATTTGACGAGCACGATCGATAGAAATGTCTCTCGATTTCAGGTCGTATTTGGTACAAAAAAAAAACAACAAAAAACAACAGTCTTATTACTGATATTATTTTTATAACAAAACGTGACGATGATATTTCCGCTTGTTCAGTTACTGACCGCTTTTTATCTCGCATGACCGACAAAAGTCTTAGCGAAGTATAACAATTGAGATATCGAAGAATGAGAAGATATAGAGAAAGGGATGCGAGTTGGTGGGGGTTGACAGCGGAGGGTGGAAAGTGCGGCGTTTCCACTCTTCGTCAGCTGTCCTGTTTGGAGCAGTCAGTGCGCGTTGTGGCCTCGCCACGTGCTTCTCGCGATCTTTCGATGCCACGCGCGATCGAGACCAAAATCTTTCGTCATGACCTTGTGACGATGATCGACAAAACAGTCGCTCAAATCGGTTTTATTTACTTAATATTTTTCAATTCAAAAAGAATTCCATTATTCGATACATCGTTAAATTTTCTAATCTAATTATTGATGGTGCGACTGGGTAAGTCTTCAGAAAACGTAAAGATTTTATGTAGGATTCAGTAAACTTTAGACTAATTTGAATATTTGTTTGATAAAATATTTTGATCGGTTACTTCTTATTATCAAGCGAGTTTATTTGTTGGTGCAATTTTATTTTTTTTAAGATAAACGTATTTCCGTTGCGCATACTTTCGTTCGTATACTTATAATGACTCTTTTAAAATTGATACAATGTTTTGAAAACCGACAAAAAATTTTATTGTTTAAAATATTAAAATATAATATTTAATGTTATCGAATAAAAATATAATCGTTTACAATTTTTTATTAACGCGTACACAAGTTACGGACACTATACGTTTACTTTTTTCTTGTTTTTTTTTCTCGCAACGTTTTTTATAGCACACAAGACATTTAATATTTCTTTGTTTATTGTTTATTGTTTATAATATTATTTTTAATAACATGCTGCAAAAAGTCAGTTCACACAAGATCGTCGCGATTTGTGTGTGCGACAGCTTTGAGAGCTCATCGACCTTCGTGTGATGACAGCGTATATATTCCACTGTTGATTCGAGTACGCCTCGAATCCTCATAAAAAATTTGATAAGCCGTCGATATTCCGATAAAAAATAGAAATACCGATCGTTAAATAGTATTATTAAAACTTTCGGAAAAAAATAGAAATATTAAAATTATTCGAAATATCGTTAAGGAAAACCTGGTTTTTATTCTCATTACTAATTCATACCATAATGAGAGACACAACTTTCCTTTTTATAATTAACACGTGTGTGGTAAAAAAAAACACATTTGAATTCAAAAAATATAATTTTAAAATGCACAAGAGTTCTCGCGGATTATAAAAACTAATTTATGACCGAAATATCACACACGTGTCGATGACGTGGATCGTTTAACTCACCGAAAAGATAACGTATAAATTACAATTTTAAAACGCGTATAAAACAGATATACGTTTAACTACTGATATATATGTAATAAGTTGTTATCAAATGTCGTTGTTTTCGCATCTCCTTAAGCGAAATCTTATGCGAACCGAAATTCCAAAGAAGCTTAGATAACATTCCACGTAAGTACCTGAACAAATATGAGAGACGCGAAAGTGCCGCGTACGCCTGTTGAGAACTTCGCCAAAGCGCAAAGCGCCATTGGCTAAACCGATAAACATCAGAAAGGCTTTAGTTCTCGTTGAAAAATGCGCCGCTCCGAGGCTCGCTCGAGCGGCGCGGTGAGAAAAGTCCCCGTAAAAAGTGACGCCCGCCGATATTCCTCTTCGGTAGAAAGCTTCCGCACTTTGTTCGGGATATTTCCCCGGTATATTCGTCGCTCGTCGTACATTTATCGGCTTCCAACGAGAGCGCGCGAGATCTCTCCATTCCTCCTTCTTCGCGAAAAGGTACGGTGATACCAAGATCGGAAACGAGTTTCGAAAAAAAAGAACACGCACACACACACACAACGACGATCATTTATCGCGAGTTCTTCGAAGTAGAACTAAATCACACGGATGCCAATTCGTTCTTCCGACGAACGAAAATAGCGACAAAGGATGCGAGGTACACACATATGGCGTATACGCGCCGGTAACATCCGCAGAATATCACACACACACACACACACACGCTCTTCTGCTTATCTCCGAATGGCAAATAATACTCTGTGTATAGAGATTTTGTTAATTTCGTACGTAGAGCGTTGGAATACAAATATTTGTCACACTGATAAGACATTGTTAATTAAACACAAATATCATTTGTGTCGCTCGAACACGAGCGACACAACTGATTTATTTGCGAGTTGCAGAATTTTCTAAAATTAAATATAATTTCTTCGACGGAAAAACTTTATAAATTAGTAAAATTCAAAAACGCTCGTTGTACAAAACAACAACAAAAAGAATTGGTCTGTTTTTTAAATATATAGCGATTTAAAATATCATCCATTTGTTCGGCTCATTTTTGACCGTTTTTCTTTGTAAAAACTTCATTTTATCTCATTTTTTTCACACCTTTGCGCGTGGAAAATATTTTTTCTTCACAATTTGACACACAGAAGAGAAATTGGTCTCCAATAAGACACATTAATCCGCACGATCGGCTTTCGTTTTCGGCTCGATTGATGTTTCATCATCTCTCCGCTTATCTTTATCTTTCGAAAGGATGAATTGTTTGCTGACGTCATGTGTATGTCGATGTGTGCAATGTGAGACAAAAATATGATAAATTCTATTTCGAAGATAACGCACGATGCAATTTTCAGAATCAGCAATTTGTTTGTTTTTTTTTTTTTTTTGTTTTTTCCTAAATCGCGAAACTGTCTTCTTGCGAAATAAAAGAGAGATTTCTCGATCTTTGTTGAATGAAATAACAAAATTGACGGCTCGCTCCCAGTCGGGACGATTCGATGCGTGCGACTGCAGCAATAACAGCTAATTTCGACGTAAGTGGATCTCGTTGTCGCATTAGCGGCAATAGACGCGTAGTTCAACAACGGTAACTCCGCGCACACACACGCGTGTAGCATCGCCGCATGTAGCGCATCGCACATAGTTACGCCTATTGAAGACTTAAGTGCCAATTTGTAGTACATTGTGTGAGAGGTTGAATTCATTTTCTCTCCCTCTCTCTCTCTCTTTCTCTCGTTCTCTCTCTCGGTACAAATACCCGATAAAGCGTCAAGTATGGCGAGATAACGTTGAAAAATGAAAAAAACTCTCGCGAAACTCCTCGAACGCTGACCTGCCCGAACGTGAAATCGATGTGCAAAAAAATCGATCGAAGGAAACTTCTATTACAAAAAAAAAAAAAAAAAAACAAACCGCAATCGAAGTGGGACGACGTGTGTGTGCAATAATTCACAAGACAGACACAAAAAAACCAGACGGGCACGAACGTTTTATTCCAAGGTTTTTTTACACGATTAAAAACGCGTTCGAAAATTTGTCACTCGACGATGCGAGACGACAACTCAATAAAATAAAATAAAATAAAATAGAAAACGAAATAGAGACCGCTAAAATAGAGTATCGACAGGCGAGGGAGTACAAAAATATAGAGGAGAAAGTGGAACAACTCTTATGAGTTGTCCAGTGTGCTGCCGCTGTTGCTGTCGTTCGGTTCTCGCCCTCCTTCGACATCTTCCAACGTTTCTTGACGCGTCGCGTCGCGCTCCGCCGATCCGCGATCCTCGTCGTGTTGTTGTTGCCTGTCGTTACCGACTTCCTCGACCGGATACTGTCGCGCTTGCACGTCCTTCCGCTGTGACGGCTGCGGACTACGAACCCGCGACGCCGATCTGTTCCTGGACTTGGCGCGCGCCTCCTTCGGTTTTTTATCTCGATATAACGATTTGTTGACGATTGATTTGTTCGCTGAAACAAATATCTACATTAAAAAATAATAACACATTGTTTTGAAAACTACGAAACAATGACAATATTGTTCAAAAGTGCGTTCAATTAACATTTTATTTATAACGTCGCACAAAAACTGCTATGAAGCGTGTTAAATACACTTTTTTTTATTTTTAGTCTCTTATTTAAAATTGTAATTTTTTTTCTGTAGTTTCTGTGCGTTGTGTTTTTTAATGTTCATTAGTCGAAGCCGCTCGGATCGGCGAAAAACACTTCGCGATAATAATACGTGAAATTAATTTTTTACAGATTCGACCTTTTTTAGTCGCCTGAAGAATATTCCAGACGTGTCACATATTAATGTCGACCGTTTGCCGTTTTTCTTCTTTCAGACTTAATATTACACATTCTTATAGCTCAAAGGAACATAATACCTACCGGAGAAGGTACATAGTCTTTTTTTTCTCTTCTTTGTAAGAGTTACATTAAAAAAAAAAAAAAAAAAAAAAGACGATTTACATCGTCTTTTAAGAAACTACCGCGCGATGCCATCGAAAAAAAAAGCTCTCCGTTCCGTCGAAGGGAATAAATGTTAAAGTAGCCGACCTTAATTCGTATGGGACGAAACGCAAGAAAGTCATTACGCGAGATAAGTGACGAGTCCGCGACATTTCTTACCCGCTAATTCCGCGTCTTCTTAAATAAATCCTCCCCCCCCCTTCCTTTTCCCCCGATCCTGCATCCAATACTCTGATGTGATTTAAATTACCTCGGGATGCGCGTTTTCGGCTCACGTAGCTTTCGCGATCGCTCTCGTCGTCGTCGGAGAAATCGGATTCTCGCCTGGATAGCCTCGGACGTTTCGTTCTGCGATTGAGCGGCGACTCGACGTCCCGGTTGTAAGAGACGTACTGTCCGGATGACTGATCCTCGAACTCGTCTTCGTACGAACGTTTTCGCTGTCGTCGCTGCAAACGTGGAAAAATATTTCGTGACAAAATAAACGGAATATTAGATTTACGTTCAATTGTGCAAAAAGCCGAGTTTTATTATTATTATTATTATTATTATTATATTTGAGATCTCCCATTTAGATCCGCACCTTTCGATTGATCGTGTTGGTCCGCTTTTGCGGCGAACGACGAGTTCTCTTTCTCACGCCGCTGCTGCGACTTTTGCTACTTTGTTGTTGCGACGCGGTTCTTTTTCTAGAGAGAAAATAAATCTATATTTTTATTTTATTCATTTTTTTAAATTTTCTATCTATAAAATATCTATATATATTCTTAGAAATTTATTGACAATATTTCATAAAACAAATACAGTGTGATCGTTGTCGTAACAACAGATCGCAATAGTACTTTTCTTCCCAACAAGCATTGTCTTTCAAATATCGTAAAAATATATCGCGACGTACTTGCGTTCCTGCTTTCGACGAGGAGTCTCCGTACGGCCACCGATCGGCGCCACCGTGGAAAGTGCATCGGATTTCGGCGTCTTGTCATCGGTTTTTCGACTGCTGCCAGCTGCTTCCTTGCTGACGGATGGAACGGATGAGTCGGAAGTCGGACTGAGAGTAGCCAGCACCTTGTAACGACCGCTTCTGTGTCGCAAAAGACCAGCGTTTACCGCGTTCTTTAAAGCTCGGTGCACCTGTGCATAGCGACGTCAAATGACGTTGTTATCGTTTTTGTTGTCAGTTCAATTCAAGTTTGCGCGAAAAAAAAAAAACGCTTTATCGCGCAAAAATCGTCAGAGACGAACGCACGAGGCGGACGACGCGCGATGATCAGTCGTCGCTACCTGCACCGTCAGATTCTTGGCCGATATGTTGCTCGTTCGGATAAAACCGAGAACCTCGCGGGCGGACGAACCTCGGCTGTCGCCGAGATTCGCCACCGCGTCCAGCACGCGGACCATGAGTTTCGGATTCGACGCTCGTACCATGCTGCTGTGCAATTTCGCGATTCGCAAGAATACCTACGAGAGAAAAAAACTATCAAACAAACACGTCCTTTAACCAGCGCGTGTTTTAAATCCTACCGTGACTAGATTTGCATAATAAACACTAAATAAATTCGGGCCGTCATTCACGAGCACCGCGAATTTCGTTGGAAAGCGTGCCGCGTCAGTCGCGAAGTTTGTCACCGTCGACGTCCGGAACTCCATTCGTCTGTTCGATGATCCTCCTTTTTTTTCTCCTCGTCGAGATAAATCCAACAAATAGATTTTTCTTCGTCTCCGCATTTTTTTTTTTTTCTATCTAAATTCTCACTTGTTCCAGCAATCAAGTTCGATCTCAGGAATCGAGAGAGCAATTGAAACCAATTCGAATTGATTTTGTTAATTTTTTTTTATAAAAAACTCTCTCTCTCGACTATTTGCAGATCTAATCTTTAGGTTTTTATTGCGTGATATCGGAAACGCGGCAATCGATGCGTGCGAGACATCGTCGATGACACGACGCGGAACGCGGAAAATTGACGTTGTCTCATCTCGGCTTTGTAATGGAGACTACTATCGGGATACACACGTCGCCGCATGTCGGAGATTTTCACGGTATCGCGATCTCGAATTACGGAGTTAAACTTTAAGAGAAGCGCGCGTGTCTCATCCCGCACGTGTGTGTTCGTTAAGCGCCGTACGTGTGACTTGGATATTCTCTGCCGCTGACAGCGATACGTCGTATCGCGCGATGTACGCTCGCGTTCAAAAGATAATTCAATATGTACAATGTTCTCGCGTTGTCATTTTTTTAGAGATGTAATTAATTTAGAATATTATTATCGGTAAAATTTTTTTTTATCGAAGAAAAGAATCTTTCGATAATATTAAAACTTATTTAAAACATTACCGTTATATTTCTCTAAAAGAACAAAAACACAAACACACTTTTGTTCGCGGGATTTTGGGAAACACCCGAGAGAAATATATCGGCAAACTCTCTGCTCCGTTTTGCACGGAGCGACCGCTTTTCTCTGAAGACTGTGAGCGCGCGCGCGCGTGCGCTTGCTTGCGTATTGAATAAGTTAAAATTTTCGGTTTCGGTTTATTCTGTGTGTGCAAAACAAGCGCGCACAACACAGTGCTGATTATCAGCTTGTTCCAGTTATCGCGCGGCGAATAGTACATACCTATCTTTCAAAGCGCGCTCTGGTATTTACTATGTTTGCACGAACGGTTACGTTTGCGCGGGATGCGGTTCGTTCCCTTTCAAACGGAGCCTTCGAACTATTTTCACATAGTGCAGATAAATGTGTACACAGCGCGTTGCAAAAATTCGCAAAGGTAGGCGCGGCGGGGTGTCTAAAAGCAAGAGGAACGTTTTCCCTAGAGCGGTAAATAGCGTCCGTACGAACGTGCCAATTAACTGTAGCAATCGCTTGTCCACAACTATGTTAACTAGAGAAGAGGAGGTTATATTAACTAATAGTTAGTTAATATATATATAACTAATCATTTACCGCTAGGGAAAACGCCCCTTTTGCGCTTAGACCACTGCTTACTCTGCCAATTTTTTGACGCGCTGCATATACACGTACAGACGTATAGAGAGAGGGATATATATGCGCGTGATGATTGACATCGAGAGAGAAAGAGCACGTGTGTTACCGTCACGATTTTCTCGATTTAACCGAGAGTCGATGTCTGTCTGTCGCACGTTATCGCGCATCGACACGTAAAATTGAACAACCATCGGAACTGGATAAGGAACATCTCTTCTCGAAAGACACTCGGAAAGATTTAGAAGATCCTTGGCGATTTAAGAATGTGATTCAGCTGTTGCGACAAAAAAAAAACAGTTGTCCGTTGAACGGAGAAAAGTGAAAATAGTTAAAGAATAAATATTACCAGAAGAGTAAAGAAATAAGAGATTATTTGCCAGATTTTAAACAGACTTTTTAATTTAGTCGACTCATTTTTTTTTTTTTTTTCATATAAAGTGTAATATTCTTATTTTTATTAATACATAAACAAGAAATATATATAAACGTTTAATACATAAATAAATAAATACATAAAAAGTAATACATAAACGAGAAATAAGAGATAACTCCGGAGTTATTAGGATAACTCCGTCAGAATTTGCCGCAAAGCTAAATTTTCTCAAAGTCGTAACTTTCGCTTAACGTCGGTACTTGTTCCCGAAGCACATCACGCGAAAAGAGATAAACAGCTTAATATAACACTTTTAATATACACGTTTACCGAACAACAGAATCGCGAGTTTAACGTGAAATTTAACAGGATTATCCTGCCTCGAAACGCCGTTTCTCATTTTCTGCCTTGTTTGCCGTTAAAGAAGAGGAACGTTCGCTTCGACGTTCGTCATCAGCGTGTTATTCATTGAACTGATAACCAGATTCTACACCCAC